CCCCCCCCCCCCCCCCCAGAACTCCCTCCCTCCCTCTCTTTGTGAAGCCAGCGCCGAGGAGAGCAACGAGACTCGCTGGAGACGAGCCTGGGCAGGGCCGCAACAGCTCAGGCCGTCAGCTGCAGAGAAGTAGGGTCGAGGGCTGCTAGTCGGGTCATTTTGGATCATTAGTAGGCCCTTAGCAGGCCTTTTGAAGCTAAGTGTCACCGGTCATCTTGCTTGTGCTGGAGCCACCCCGGTCAAGCAGATGCAAGCGTTGTGGATCCCTTGTTCCTAGCACCTGAGCACCACCTTTCAAGTGGCATTCTTGGTTCGAGAACCCACGCAGGCCGCATCAACTTCGTCATGGCGCTAAGTAACACACCGCTTGCCGCGGCGCTCCGCGGTGTCCGGCTACCACACTGTTTACCCGCCATAGACAACACATGAAATGCAGCTGTATGGTTCATATTGTGTAATTGCAAGCACGAGACACAGGAGGCGCGGCGTCATGCCCGAAATCGGGGTCCAATCGGTCAGACAAACTCAAATTCTCGATACACCACGCACCTCACGTCACAGGTTATCTGAAGGCAAAGATCGTCACGGAGAGTCCTGTGTCATGAACAGCCGGGGGATTACAGGAAATCCTCCAGACAGCGCTTGCCAGGGAGGGAGCGAACTGAGGGTCGACACAGATTCATTGGCAACGTTTCGCGTTACTCGAAATTCCATGAACTCTGCATTTCCTTGGGTTTGTAAACCTTAGATTGTAGCCGGCTTGGCAGTGGTTGTCACGCACTGCATGCAGCACAGCTGAACTGGCTTGCGAGCCCAATGTTTACGCAGCAGCTGTGCATGTGGGAAGTAATGGTAAAGGCTTGGCTACGTGGGTTGTCATGGTTGTCATTCAGACAGCAGGATGTTTGGATCTGCTTTTTTTCGCTGCCGAAGGTCGAAAACGGCTTGGCGCAAATCTTGTCTTTGTTGACACCGCCGCAGGCGCCTCCGCACAAACGTGTCACATTCGTCTTTCGTTGGGGTTGGCACGGCCCAGGAAGATGGAGGCATCTTAGCCGAGAAGCTGATGCAGGCTGTTGGGCGCCGAGCGTCTTCTTTTCCCTGGCCGATGCGGTCCGATGACAGCTGCCTAAGGTTGATCGCCACGATCCAGAAACTGACCAGATCTTCGCTCGAATACGCCAACGAAGCGACAGCTCCATGCTCTTGGCACAGTGCATGCAAGCGTTGCGGTCTCGGAACTACAAAGTCTTCGCCTCCAGTTTCGTGTGATTGTTGGCCACTTGACCCATTGTACACACCGCTTGAGGTTCGATGCCGATGGCAACACGCTGCTGCACAGATTCGTGGTTGGTCCAAACATCGACGCAGCGAAGGACATGGACATCTTGCACCTATTGCTAGAGTCTGCCTCAGACATCAACAACCGAAACTTGCTTGGTGAGACGCCTCTTCTGGCAGGCGCCAGGTCAGCAGCAAGGCTAGAAATGCTGGAAGCTTTGATTGCGGCCAGCGCCGATCCTGGCTCTCCAGATGCCATCTCGCACGAGACTGCGTTGATGGAGGCTGCCTGCCGTGGCGATGCAGGACTCTGCCGGCTAATTCTCAATGGCAGAGCGGATGCGGCAGCCAGGAACATCCATGGCTGCACTGCTTGGGATCTGGCGATTGAGAACCGGCACAGCAGCGAGATTCAGAGTTCAGAATCCTTTCGAATGATTGCCGTTTCGGGTCTTTGCCAACTTTCAGTTGGCCGGCAAGTGGACGTAGATCCGATGTCCTTGCTTCTATAATTGCAGCCAGTGTATGTTCAGGCGATGTCGTCCAGCTCCTGGCGGAGAACGGCAGTGTGCAGCCACCCAGCCTGAACAGCGAAGTGATGGCTGCGGTGAAGGCCGCGGATGTGGATACGCTGCAAAGGCTCCTGTCGAGTCTGGGAACACTCGAGCTGGAGCGAGTCTTAACACGTGGAGTGGATGATGCTGGACGACAGCTCTTGCATGTGTCTGCAGCCCAGGGTGCACAAGAAGGAGCAGCGGACGTTGTGAGACTGTTGCTCGAGTTCGGGGCACCGACCGATGACGTGGATTTTGCTGGCGACACTCCTTTGTCCTTGGCAGTCTTGACAGCTTCGGCCAGCGATTGCGATGACGGTGGCAGTTGGGCGGCTTTGGACACTTGCCGCGTCTTGCTAGTGGCTGGAGCCAGTGCCGATGCTGGCGGACAGCTCTCTGCGCCCAACTGCGCTTTGGCAGAAGCCTTTCAAAGCGGTCGCGGCCACGATGTTTGTCAACTTTTGCATGCATTTGGGGCGAACATGCCGTGGTATGCAGTGGCAGAAGCCTCGAATGAGTCCGCCGATGCAGATGCGGAGTACGCAGATGTCGGTCATGGCACCTTCGAAGCTCAGTGTGAGCAGGAAGGTATTCCGCTGGAGAAGTTGGGGACGCTGGGTGCAAAGGCGGTCCTGGCTGCCTGCAGCGCTTGGCGCCAGATGACGGTGAAGCAGCTACGCTCGGAGTGCAGTGATGTTGGCATACCGACCGATGGTTGTGTTGAGAAGGCAGAGATATTCTCGCGACTTCGCTGAGTTGGAGAGGCACAGCAAACTTGGGTTTAGATGCGCCCGCTGCTCTGGGGGCTTTATGGGGAACACACCGAGGCGCCTGCATCAAGTGCGCATTTGGCAGAGCTCCTCCCTTGAGATGCTCCGCGAGGAATTGGGAGCCAGCACGCGCGTCTTTGTTATGAGTTGTTGATGTATGTGTGTATATGTATATATATACACATATTATTATGCATACATACATACATACATACATACATACATACATACATAGATAGATATAGGTATATGTGTGTGTATTCATCATGCTTTGCCTTGTCTGCACCATGGCTGCTGTCGTTGCTGTTGGGCTGGCCAAGTCAGGTAGATTCGAAGGTGCTCATGTCCAGTCCTGCGTCTTGAGTCAGGAGGTGGGCAGCCTCGGCCAGGATGCACAGCGCTCCCGGCAAGAGCTTGAGGACTGCACAAGTGCACCACGAGTGCAACAAGCGCGAGGTCCATGTCTTCTAGTCTCGTTATCGTGAACGAAGTTGCGTAGCTGCGCGTAACAGAGAGCGAAGGCATAAGTGTGAACTGCTCGGTCTGTTCTGGCTCACAGAGCCTTTTCCCCTTGTAGCCTCGACGTTTTGCCTTGTAGACTCCCAGCGAGATGAGCAAGAAGTGCAACACCCAATCGATCTTCTTGAACGGCGACGTGGCGAGGGAGGACTTCGGGATGGTCGCAGGGCCTCCCCCGCGTGGTAGGGCCCAAGGCTACCAGGGCGAGCGCCCCTTGAGCTGAGAGAGAGAGGGAGAGATTCCTTGTGCAAAGAGGGATTTTAAAGGCTTTGGCAATGCTTTTCACGACAATGTTAGCCGCTGTTAAGGAGATGCCGGCGGCATGCGAGCCTGGACCAGTGGCGGCGGCGGCGGTGGTGGTTGGAGCCGGAGGGACGATATGGAAGACAGCTGGGCGCCAGCCCCGAAAGGCCAGAGCAAGGGCTGGGGAAAGAGCTGGCGCAGCGATCCTTGGGAGAGCCCGAGCTACGGCTACGGCGGTGGCGGCGGCTATGGCGGCAGCTACGGTGGCGGCTACGGCTATGGCGATGGCTACGATGGATATGGCGATGGCTACAGCAAGGGGAAAGGCAAGGGCAAAGGGAAGGGCAAGAGCAAAGGCCCATCGTTCTATTCTATGCACGATGAACGTGGTGGTGAACCTCTGCGCGAGAGATCGCCGCGGCGTGCAGGTGGTTTCGGCGGTCGCTGGAAGCACGACATGTATGATGAGAAGGACCTTCCTGAAGGAGAGTACCGGAACTTCGGAGGACGAACCCTTGGCGGTCCTGGCAGGAAAGGCAAGGGCAAGGGGAAGGGCAAGACCAACGGCAAAGCCAACCCCAAGCAACTTGACCAGCAGCTGAGCCGCTACTTCGGAAAAGAGGACGACGGGCTAGACAAGTCAGCACTGGACACAGAGCTGGATTCCTACATGGGCAAGCCAAAGGCGGCTGACAAGGCGTAGGCCGTGCCCACCTGAGTTCAAAGTTGCCCGAAATGGCACAAGTCTTGAATGTTAGTCTTGGCTCTGTACGCAAAAGCGCTGATGCGATAGTCTTACCCATGCACGACATCCGTAGAGAGGTCTGACTATGAAGTGAACAATTTGCAAACATGCAGGCTGCCAAAAAGATTGCGAGTTCTCCCAACACTGTACTGTGGTGCCACATTCAGTTGGGGCAGGGGTGTCTGTCATGTCACTTGCCTGGAGGAGGTGTTGCTCGTCGCCACTTTCAATGCTCGCCCCCGCCGAGATCGAATCTGGGACACGCCTGTGGAAGTGTCGCATCCAGGTTCATTCCTACTGACTTTTTGCAGGAGATGTGCAAAGCCAGACATGTGCCAGTCGACAAGTTCAACGACCTGGACAAGGTAGCGACTGAAGGAGCAGACATAATAGCAGCCATGGCATCTTGATTCTCGTGCTTCAGCTTGTGCCGGCTGCTTTTGTCAATGTTCTTGTCCGCCAAAGTTTCGGCACCGTACCTTCGACGCTGTGTGCGTCCCTCCCTGCATACAATAGCGGCAAGTAGCCGCACAAAGCAACTCCCGGTGACTCGGTGTGGTCCGAAGCCATGGTGCAGCTCGTGCCATGGGTGCCGCTGGGTCTGATGCACCTGGCTCTCGCCGCTGCAAATGGTAATCTTTGCTCGGATGCCCTTGGTGCCCTTGGTGGTGGTGTGTCGTTTCTACAAGCGTCAAAGAAGCTCTGGGCACCACCTGCAGCCGCGGCTCCTGCAGCTTCTTCCTTGAACGCCTCAGAGAACACCTCAAGCCAGCCAAGTGACGGCAACGCCACCAACGCCACCAACGTATCAGTCGACATCACTGACGCGGTCAACTTCTCTGAGATCGCAGAATATGGTGGTGAAGTGCAGGATGAGAGCGACACTCCCAGCACTCCCTATGCTGATACGAACAGCACAGAGCCCGCAATCCCAGTTATCGAGCCTATTCAAAAAGCAGTGCCCTTGCCCGAGCTGGATGCTGAGAACCTGACTGGGGATCTGCGCGACTGCATCATGGGCTTCTGGAGTGAGTGGAGTGAGTGCCAAAAAGGAACTAACGGTTTCAAAGGACCGCACCAGATCCGGCAGCGTGAGATCATCCAACCGTGGATGCCCAACGGCCAACCCTGTGGTGCACAATCGGAGGCCAGAGAATGCTTCGAGGAACACCATCCGTGAGAAGCAGCCGGCACCTGGCACATGCAGCCACTTCACTTGGGGTCAGCGGGCAGCTGATGTTAAAATTGGTGATCTTGCAAGCCTGCCTTCCATCAGGATGACCGGCATCGGAACTAGGTTTGCTGTACCATCACCGCTGCTTTTTGCATGTGCAGTTTTTGCATTTGAGTTCAGGCCGAAATGGTCTTGCAGCAAGTACAGCGCTTGGAACGTGGAAGCGTGGGCGACTTGAAGCGCGAGCCATTAGGCTGCACAACAATCTTCTGGATGATGGTTGGTCGCATATCATTTCGAGTTTCAAGCCATCTCTCTACCGCGAAATATGGAACATAGCCCTTCAAGCAGTGCAGTAGTCTATGCTGTGCCATGCCAGGTTCGCAAGACGCGGATTGACCGTAGAAGCAGGTACAGAGACGTGCCAGCAAGAAGTCTCAATGACGACATGCACACATGTTTTCGTTCTGGTGAAACTCGTGAAGTTTGTGGCAAGCTCCGGCATTGCATGTCAGCCTGCACAAGCGGCTTTGCTTGCCCGTGTTGGTGACTCAGGAAAAGCAGGAGCTCCACGACAGTCCGCAATCAAATATGTTGGGTCGTTGGGTGGAAGACTTTCCCCGATGTGCAGAGTGCTCCTTACACCAGCTGCAGCCGACAGGAGATGATCTCCAAGTTGCGCGATGTGCTGGCATGGGAAGAGATGCCCCTGTCAGGTTTGCAGCAGACATGCCGCCACTGGGCTTTGGAGCATTAGCGGTGGTAGAAGACCAGCACGTACACATGCAGTTATCTGAGGTAAAGAGCGAGAGAGAGAGAGAGAGAGAGAGAGAGAGAGAGAGAGGGAGCTGGGAAGCAAGCAAGCAAGGGAGCTGGGAATGTCTCCACTCCATTGTTCGTCTAAGTCTAATACATCCTACACATCCTACTGGCGAGTCTGCGACGGCACAGTATTTTCCACCAATGTAAACAGATGAGGTGCGCCTGGAGGGAGCGGGGTGGGGAGGTCGCTCTTCTCCGCACCCGAGAGAGAGAGAGAGAGAGAGAGAGAGAGTCCACTGCTGGACCGTCGCGAACTCTGGAAAAACCAACCTGGACGTACCGACCCTGACACCAAGCCAAATACCACCGGGGCCACTAGCAGCCAAGCCCCCCCAGACCAGACCCCTTCGCAGCAGTTCGAGATGGCCGCATTATCGGGGGAGGCCGGCGACAACCCCCCAACCAACAACCCCCTCCGACACCAACCTCCACAAGCACTGAGCCCACAACCACAACCACCACAAACATGGCAACCACCACCACAACGACACCCACGACGGCTGCGGAAACAACCGCGACAGACCACGACTCCACCAACTTCATGCAACGACACATTGACAGGATGTTCCACCGGCCCAGACCCACCGCCAAGCCAACCAACCCCGACACCCAACAAGCACCGGCGACCACGACCCACCCCCAGGCAGCACAACCAGAGGCACTCTCCATCCACTCGACCCAACCCGACAGCCCCGACAACCAACCCCACCAACCACTTCCCGCCCACAAATACAACCTACTACTCTTTTAGCTCGGGGCTTACCGTAGGTATTTCTCGTGTCGTGAGGGGGAAGAGGGTCACACGAACCGAACGCCCATGTAACATAGTCACAAACCAACATGATCGCCCCTTAGGGTCCTCTATGGTATATGCTGTGCCAGTGTTTTATCACCAGAAGGGAGACTGTGCACATCAGCAACACAACGACTTCGTGCGATGCCACCGGGGGATACAGCTTCGGGGGGATACAGCCTCTGAGCAAATCAGTCCTCGCCTCAGAACTAACAACCACACATGTTAGCCCCTTAGGGTCCATTAGTTCATCTGCTGTGTCATTGTTTTGCATACACGAGGGGGACTAAATCGGGGGTTGAGCTCTCCTTCTAGTACAGCCTTGAAGAAAGCCGGTCTCCCCTTCAAAACCAACCTTTACATATGCTAGCCCTTTAGGGTCTTCTGATGTATGTGCTGTGCCCTTGTTTCACAAAATGAAGGGGGGACCACAAAAAACCTGCAAGCAGAGAGACTCCCTTCAGCTAAATTGTCTTTGCCTGCCTTAGCTTAAGGGGGAATTCATCTTTCGCACTGCCTACTTGGGGGAGAAAGCTGATGCGGAGTAGTGTGCTACTAAAGGCATTTGGACACCTACTACTCCGTAAAGGAGCGCTAGGGAGCCAAAACATGAAGGCAAAAAGGTGGTCAGCACGTCAACATTGACCAGGACAAACCCCTCTTGTATAGCCTCTGTACTCCCCTTTTCCCTGTTTAGTCTTCCGCAAGAGTGGTCAACGTTGACGCCATGCAATGACTACAAAACCCAATAAGTCCTCCATGTAAAGCGAACAGCAGGGCAAAGAGGGAATGAACTGTTTTTTCTCTGTATGTCATTCAGTGGTTATGATTCGTACTGTACTGTGTGTTTGAACAGAAGAACTTGCCCTAACATATAAAACGAGAGTCGTACAGTCGACATCGCAAATCCAAACGAGGGGGGACATCCTTCCCTGTCATGTATATCTAGGTTTATGTGGTAAGGGGGAAAGTCTTGCACCTAGACAGGGGGAAAGGATGCGCCGATCCTCATGCATGTTTCAATTGAGAATATGTGGTCACCTGTCTCGTCATCGTATACTTTAAGGCTGAAACCAAAAAAAGGGTCAACAAATATTCGTTTCTCACTCCCCGTGTACCCAATAAAGCATTGGGTGGGCTATTCAGCCCGGGAACGTTAACCCGTCCCCATGCCCAGGAGAGAGAGAGAGAGAGCGAGAGAGAGAGAGAGAGAGAGAGAGAGAGAGAAATAGAGTTTCCTCCAGTCCCTGTAGAGAGAGAGAGAGAGAGAGAGAAATAGAGTAGAGCGTACACTCGTCTTCTTTCCGTTATTGTATATGTTATGGCTCCAGCCGTTGGACCTGTTACTACGCTCGTTTCTCACACCCTTTGGCCGTTCCAACGAACGGGTCTGCTTGATGCCCGGGGGCGCAGACCCGCCCTCATGCCCGGGAGGTAAGAGAGCGAGAGAGAGAGAGAGAGAGTGAGAGTGAGAGAGAGACAAAACGAGAGGACGTACGGTCGCGTTGGGGTTGGCCTTCGGGCCGCGGGTCTCCTGACCCCACACCCCAAGCAAGCAAACAAGCAAGAGACAAAATAGGCCCTTGAGGCCGAAAGGAGGTTTGACACTTGAGGGATGATGAAAACCCCCGAGAGCATTTTTTAAAGTATATATAGATGCGTCCGTACTTTGAAAGCATTCGAATTCCTTGCAAAAACGTTATAAGGCATGACGACTCTGCCTCTTGAGCTTTGCCACACCCGAAGCCTTCAAGTTCAGGTGAGCGAGGTCTGGGTGGGCCTGTCGCTGCCTCTCGGGCAGCTTTCTCCCAGATTAGATGATTCGTGCTCGTGCACTGCAGTTCTTGCTTCGCACCTTGGAAAAACCCTGCCAGGAAGAGCTCCTGAAGCGGCTGCTTACTTCCATAGGCCATGCAAAAAAATGCAGCCCCCGTGGCTCCAAGTTCCTGAGAGCAGGCCAGACCAAAGCGGCCGAATCACGGTTCAAGAACTTCTTCACCTATGGCAACCCGCAGACCCAGGCATGCCATAAGAGCAGTCGCTTCCTGTCACCACGCTACCAGCGGCTACCAGGAGACTCCGAAGCCCGGACCCTCGGCCTCGGGTCCTCAACCGTCCAGTGCTCAGCGACGAAGGCTTGCGATTCAGGAGTCGATGCATCGTATAGTATGGTGCAGGAGCCCTGGCAACCGTGGCTTCGGGGACGATTTCGAGCGTGCGTGGGAGGCAAAAGCCGAAGAAAATCGACGAGCTTTCGCTTCAGGCAAGGGCCCTAGTTCGCACGCGAGCGCTCACATGAGAACTTGATCGCAAGGCAACCGGAACCATGCTGGGATGCCTTCCGGACAGAGGCGCTATGCGGGGCCTGGGCCCGGCTTTCCTGGTTCCGGAAAGCAGAGGCACCCTCTGAGGGCCCTTCCTGGCGGTCCGTGCTGTGATCACTGAAGCCGGTGTTGAGGTCAGCAGCCCCGCAGACTCCACCGATCGAGCGCTTCTTTCGGGTTTTGGGCCTGCCAGTCACTGCGAGCCACGACGAGGTCCGCAAGGCAAGGCGGCGAGGAGAAGGAGCTTGCTAAATTCTGCTTGAAGCGCAGTTCGGGCCGGGTGACGAGGTCATGGGTTTATCTAAGCCTTCGTTGTGAGGCTTACCGACAGCTTGCACTCCAGTACCATCCGGACAAGAATCCCGGGCAGAAGCTGGCCGGCAGTAGACACGTCAGTTTGCATTGACGTGACGCCCATTACTTTTTCCTGCACACTGCATCCCCAATCGTTTGCACATCATATATATATATATACAAATATATAATTATATAATCTTATCTTAGATATACTTATTGTTAGTGTTACAATAGTACATACGGCTTTCCTCAGTGTTCTTTTTCTCCCAGGAAGAAGGCGGCTGCAGAGGCCAAGTTTCGCGAGGTGGCCGAGGCTTACGACAAAGTTTGCGAGTTCTTGCGGCAGAAGAAGTAGTGGTGGTACCGAGTGGGCCACAGCGTGTGGTCGAAAAGAGGGCTGCACTCAATCGTGCTTTGCACCAGGTCACAATCGTCTGAAAAGTGTTTGCGTGTCTGTTGCCAGCAGCCGTGCCCCAAGCAGGCCTGCATGCTCAAATGCTTAGGCCCAGGCTTTCTCACACGATGTGCTCCTTGGGTGAGGGCACAAGCTAAGCTATCATCTGAGTCTAAGTCTAAGCTTGATAAGTCTCCAGCCAAGTCGCTTATGGAAAAGAGCAGAAGTTGTTTCGACCTCAGTTATAGTGCCGACTTGCAAATAAAATCGACTCATGTGGCTCCGTTTGGCCATTGTTGCGGCGGCATGTACCGCGAGCACCCATGCCGCCCCTCAGATGCACCGAGTCGCTCCTGAACTGCGCCTGCATGCCGTGTAGTGTCCACCACAGCGTGAGTTTTGCAGCAGACAGCAGAGCCCCGCGCGAGCAGGCTTGGACCCGAGGATCCATCGAGGCGGGCTCAGAGACTTCGAAGATCCGTCGAGTTTCAGCTTGCGGAGGTGTCTCCTGGAGGAGTTGTCTTCCTCGCCAAGTTCTGCTTCTTGGCGCGAAGTCTTGGAGCCCGTGTGTAGCCGAGATTTCTCGCGTGCCGAGTCGGCCCTGCTGGGGCCCAAACGAGGCTTTGACTTCGCACCAGATGCCAGCAAAACCAATGCTGTTGGCAAGATTGAGGCCAGGAGATGCCAGGGCTCTGCACCGGATATCGCGCTGTTCCAGACCTGGGCAGGCAACGCTGCACTCCTCGAGCCCAGCAGACGGCCTGATCAAATTTGTGCTGTGACCTGGCAAGTCCTCCTTCTACTCCTTTTTATGCCAAAGAGACAAGGAAGAGGGACGTCTGAGGTTTGACGACGAAGCCAAGTCCTATCCCGACTCCTCCTCTTTGGGCGGCTTCGGCTGCGAGTCCGACAGGCCGGAGGGGTTTCTGAGGGGCGCGCATGGGGCTCTCCGTCGTCCGACTCAGACGGAGCGAGGCTAAAGAGAGCGGCACGTTGGACGCAGGCCCCCTTGCACTGAGCACTCTCGGAGACCCTCAGGGCACTCTGCGGTTCGCTCAGGTGATAAATGCTACAGACTTGACATCGGGAAAGACGCCCTTTGCAGACGCCTGCCTGGAACATTCCTTCAGCACTTCACCATCGCAGTGTAAGAACGTCATATTGGCGCCAATGCGGCGCCAGACGAGTGCGGTAGAAAGTTCCACACGACTACTTTAACACATCGAACAGAGTGCAGATAAGCCTGTGGCAGTGTCCCCTGCACGACACCCACGGTGACACTCAGGACATTTATGAGAAAATTAGACCACGATGGTGGTATGCTGCAATCGTTGATTGCTCCGGGCATCCCAGAAACTAGCCGGCAGGAAAGCCGTTCCAGTTTTTTCTGATACCTATCGAAGTGACTAAGGAACGATTGACTACAATGTCGTGGCCTTGGCATCGAATCTGACAAAATGTGCATCTGTGCATCCCAGTGCAAAGGTGCACATGACGAACGTAAAGGCCGGCTTCCTTGCGGAGTTCTCTATAGATCGAGTTGGGCCGAACGGGATGTGCCTCTTCATGGCAGTGCACCTTGCCCGGCATGCACAGCAGGAAGTCATGAAGTGGTTCCCCGCAGTCCTTAAAGCATGCGGCAGAGGTATTCGATCCTGGCTGGATGCCAGCTCATGGCTCTTCTGAAAAGGCCACTGGGTAGAGAGAGAGTTTGAAGCAAGATGCCACGTGTTTGTCCGTCCCAGTTTTGTCTTACCGGCCATTCGCATGAAGGAGCTTTCTTCCCCCATGGCTCTCAAGTATCGTTTGGCTTGATGTATGGCCTGTTGAACACGGAAGATGTCTTCAGGAGCACCAGTGCCAAAACACAGCATCCGTGTCTCGTTGGCACTATGACGTAGCCTTCTCATTGCGTGGAGCCCCGAAGCTGAGGATCCGGCTTATGCTGGGGATTTGTGTCGGGGCTGCCGCGGTTCCTTCCTCAGCCTCGGAGCCCAAGCGGCCTGCGTGGTGAAGTGTACATGGCGTGGGCAAGACCTTGTGAGGCAGGCACACTTTGTGTTCTGCTGAACATTTCCTGGTATGCTTACCATGGGGAAGACCAGAACAACCTGTACATGGCCGCAGCCCCAGTTGGTCTTGACTTGATCCGCCAAATGCGCCTGCGAGCCTAAGGCAGGAAAGCTTCTCAAAACTGGCTCCAAGTACACTCTGCTAGCAATTCTCTTGCTTCTCGCACGTGGCCGAATCTTGGCAGCATTCTTGGGCCTAGATTGCTATTCGGATCCTTGCAAGCAGCACCTCAGGCTGCATCTCGGTGCCACTTTACGGGAGAGATGTCTTGCAGGAAGCACGTTGCAGCCCTATCTGCAGAGCACACTGCGTGGATGTCATTCCAAGTGGACGCGGTAGCTGAGGCATCCTGGTACCGCTGTATATTGCCAGCGTTTCGCTTGAGGTGGCCGTATTTGGCTCGCGCGGTGTCTGTCTGCGACGTTTGCGCGGTTGGGACGGGGTGGGCTTGCCTGTGGTTTCAGTTTCATTGCGCCGAAGCGAGCCGCAGGATGTCATGTGCAGTCCTAACGGTACCCTCGATTAGTCCACCAGGTCTGGGGCGAGTTCGCACAGTCCCGAACGTACACAACAGACCCGTGGCCGCATCCAAACTGTGGAAGCATGCCGCTGAGCTCAGCAAGCCAAGGACTCGGTCTACCGGACATACATGGGCGACATCATCATTTGCATCGAGCCTTGGCCTTGCCAGGCTGCTGGTCAGCTGCTAGTCGCTTGACGAGCCAATTTTGATCGTGGACGTTTCAGATTGAGGACATTGTGCTGCTCGCCCTCTACCTTCGAAACTTATTCCAGTCTTGGGGTGCAGAGCCTCTTTGCTGCGTTTGGCTGCACGGAACTTTGCACGAAGCGCTTTGTGCGGAAGCCGGATTCATGGAATGGAGCCACACCAAGGCCAGACGCCCCGAAGCGGGTCTTCTACAGAACTTGGGGTCTTACCTACGCGGGTGCCTTTTTGCTCCTGCCGGCACCTTGTAAGCAGCAAGTCTCGCGTATGTGTTGCGCAGTATCCGTCCAGTCCCAGTCCGATGGATACCTTACAATCACTTCCAGCATTTATTCACCCCCCCTAAATAATAAAGCACATTGGTGCTAATCCTCCCGGAATCATCCCTGCCCTTCAAGACCTGATTTGCATTAGGGGGTGTCTGGAGCAGGAGCAGGAGCAAGAGCACAAGCAAAGCAGAAGCAAGAGCATGAGTAAGAGCAAGAGCAAAGCAAGAGCACGAGCAGGAGTGAAAGAGCAGGAGCAAGAGCAAGAGCAAAAAGGCAACAGCAACTGCAAGAACAGGAGCAAGAGCAAGTGCAGGAGCGAGAGCAAGAGCCGAAGCAGGAGCAGGAGCAAAAGCCAGCACGGGAACAAGAGCCTGAGCAGGAGCAAGATCGCTCGAAGACAGTAGAGATAAGAATGCCCCTACTAATAATAAAAACACTTTTCGAGTTTTTAGGGGGAAACGATTAGTAAAGTTCTGATATCGGCTATAACTATACCGGACTATACCCATGCAGGTACCTACTCGTAATGCAGAGAGGAACTGTGAAGCCATCAGCTTGCCTTGCCGAGATCTCCGTGCTCACATCGCAATGCGTCGCTCCCTGGGTGCGGTCTGAAGTGATCTTCTTTGTGCCATCCCCTTGGATTGAAGCCTCCAGGCCTTCATGGATCTGCATGTAAGAAGGGATGGGAGCTCAATTCAGGTCGAACACAACTCACTGTGCTTTCTTGGCTCTCCTGATCATCGGACTGTGGCCTGACTACACGCAGCCCGCGTTTTGCATCGACCACCCCTCTGCTCCTCGGACTCGACTAGTGTGGAAGTTGTTTCAAGAAGTGAAGGGATGAGCTGAGCTTCACTTGCGCGAGGCCCTGGCTACTACTTTCGGGGTCAAGACAGCGACTTTCCTGCAGAGATGGCCCATCACGTGTGGCGCATGCAGTGGTTCACAAGCACCTGCAGAAATGTTTGAGGAGCTGCTGGAAGGGAGCGAACTTGTCGAGGGGCCGAAAATCTGAGACTCGAAGCCAGATGCACCTGGGCCTGATGGGAAAGCCGGAGCAAGGACACGTGCTTGCCCCGCCTGAGGTGGAGAGAAGCTTGGCTCGAACTTCTTGAGTACCTTGGTCTCACTTCCTAACGAGGGTGGAGTTTCCAGTTCCAGCCGAACAGGCGCTGCTCTAGGAGCAGAAGTGCGATCGGCGAAATGACAAGCAAATCCCAGCCATGGAAGTGGGAACGCAAGATTTACAAGGGCTAGGTCTTGGAGAATTTGAGCTGACCGTTCCTCGTGTTGGCTCATGCAGTAGAGAGTGCCTACGCAGCTGGGCGACGCGGCTCTGATGGCTGGCTGAGAAGGCGGGTGGATCCAAAGAAAGCATCACACCTTGACCATCACTTCATCCCGGCTCTCAGAACATGTGACCAAGTTGGAACCAGCCCACGAAACCAGCCCTTCGGTATCACCGGCGTTACGCCATGCAGTACAGGTTCCACGTGTTACTGTCGAGTGTCCTCATCTCTCATGGTTTTGCTTCTATCTTATGTCAAGCTGTTGCTGTGTGGCATTGCCCCTATCCTGTTTACAGCGCTTGCTGTGTGGGTGGAAACTAGTGCCACGACAAAAATTCACGCCGAGCATTACCGCGGAGGTGAAAGACACAACCTTCCTGCATTGTTCCCAACTGCTGCATTGTTCCGAGTCCAGATGGGCTGTGGCGTCGCAAGGTCGGTGGAAAGCTTCCGACCCCAAAAGCATTGGAGAAACGCGAGCCGTTATGGAAAGCGCGTTGCCCCTATCCTGTTTACAGCGCTTGCTGTGTGGCTCTGCCCCTATCCTGTTTACAGCGCTTGCTGTGTGGTTTGTTTCTATCTTACGTGCAGCGGCTGCTG